TTATAAAGCCTTAAACTTTTCAATCCCCCTATTGTTTTTTTTCCAGAATGACCTATAGATCTGTACTGCTTTTCCCAACAGTGGATGGACCGAATAGAAGGTATATATATACTTTGGCCCTAATCCTTCCCAATCTCCCCAAAGTCAAGGTCCAGCTATAAGTTTGACTGCCTCAACTTCCTTTCTTTTCTCTCTCTCAGCAGTCTTCTTAACATCAGGAGGAGGATAATATATTGCCCAGCTTCTGGTATCATTTCCTCTAAAAGCCAAATCTTATCTTTAAGGATGATTGAAATGTTTTCCAGTGAACATTCTTGGTGTGAAATATAGGCTCCCAGGGAGGTTAAACAATTTGTGAAAGAGCAATGCCCTCGAAGTTTTATTCTCATGCCCTGTTTTGTTGGAGTTTCTGCTTCGTTCCAAGTCTTCTTATCTCATTGCCAGGAACCAAAGCAAGCGTTTCCTTTTTGCAAACATTGTGTGCTATCTTTATATTCACCTCTGTAGATTTATTTCTTTGCACTACTGGCGTTGCAACTGATTAGCAATTTTCTGCTCTATCCTCTTCCTGGTCCATAAAGTAGTATTTCTGCTTAAACTACAACCCATCTGCCTACCAGCAGCAACTATTTCTCAGGGGCGGCTATTTTTTTTCAGAGCATCTTTTCCCTCGATGATAAGGAAGGGAACCTCGATATCTGCTAGTTATGCTTTCTCCCACATTCAGATTTAGGCCAAAGGAATTTGTGATTGGATTTATAAACATCTACAGGTACACAACTGTTCACAATACAAGTAATGTTCTCATTCATCTGAACCAGAAAGAATAGCTATTCCCAGGATGAAAGGAACATAATTTACTTTTACCGGTCATGAGAATTGTCAGGGGAAAAAAATAAGGAGATCATCCCTTATTCAAAACAACAAACTTGGTTGAATGTTAGGCATTTAAGTGATAAAAACTCTGAAAGCTCCCTGGTGAAAGTGATGGATCTGCCAACTTTACTTTCTCCTACATGTCAGACCTTTTAAAACATCAGATTTTCCTGTCCAATTTATAAGGAACTTTCTGAATATCGATAAGCTTTTACCTTAAAACACACCAAATGAAACTTTTACTTGTGTCTATTCACTATACCCCATAATGTCAGACTGATAGTAGCTCAGCAGTAGCAGCAGCAGCAATAAAAATCAAGATTCAAAACAATGACAAACTAATAAAAGAACATTTGAACCTCCCAAGACTCTCCATTACAGATCTCAAAGTAGCCATTTTGGAAAGTCCAATCCAGCGAGTGCGTGCAGAACAAAATACATCAAAAGGGTTTTTTTTAAATAAATTTTTTATTTATATCAAACATAGAAAAAACAAAACATAAAATCTCCATCATTCAAATACAATCACAAACAGCATGTTGATCAGTTAAAATTCTTTTGTGCTCAGTCTCTCATCCCAATTTTCAAATTAATTAGTTTCTTTCATTTAACTTCAGCACAATGTGATTGCGGGGCCCCTCGACAGACTATCCAGCATATAGTGAGGGAATGCCCTAACAGAAGGTATCCAGGAGATTCTAGGGACTTCCTCTGCATAACAACGGCAGCTACTGACTGGATCTCCAAACTCGACATTAAACTTTGAAATGTTATTTCTGTTTTCCTTTTAGGTTTTCTTACTGCTTTTTTATTGTTTTAATTGTTTTTAACCTGTAAAAATGAAGTGTTTTAATACTGTGTGTGACCAACCATACGCTAAATAAATAAATCTCATTTAACAGTTTTGTATTTATGTTCACTTAACCACTATTGAACAGAAAGAAAGGTAAATAAAAACAAAAGGAAAATCACTTCATATATTGTTATCTTTATATATTCCTATTTCATTTTTTATCTCTATGTTTTGTTATCTAATCATTGATAAAACAAATCCCAAATTAAATAATATTGTTTATCTTCCTGTTGTCTAATTTAAAATGTTAATTTACTCATTTCAGCACAGTCCATAATTTTCTTAATAATTTCATCTTCAGTAGGTATCTTCTCACCTTTCCAATTTTTAGCAAAGACAATTCTAGCTGCTGTTAAGACGTTCACAATTAAATATCTTATCTCTTTATTGTATATTTCTGGTAAAATCCCTAATAAAAATATCTCTGGTTTAAAGTCAATGTGTTTCTTTGTCATTTTTTCCAACCATGTATGGATTTAGTCCAATATCTTTTAGCCTCTACACATGTCCACCACATATGGTAGTATGATCCTGGGGTCTGATGACATTTCCAACATTTCTCCAATTTGTTCTTGAATATTCTGGCTATTCTCGTTGGGGGTAGATGCTACCTGTAAAACATCTTATACAAATTTTCCTTATATGCTGTAGACATTGTCATTTTATAGTTTTGTAACCATAATTTTTGCCATTTTTCTAAATCAATCCCATGTCCGAAATTTTCCCCCCATGCTAACATTGTCCCTTTAACTTGTTCTTCTTCCAATTTTACCGCTAGCAAATATCCATATAATTTTTTAATCACATACTACATCAAAAGTTTTCAGGCAATCTCAAAAGATCTCAACAAACACAATGAGTTTTTAACTCATTGCAGTTGTTAATTAATCAGGTACTGGTAATCTGTCTCACAGGTAACCTGCATCTGCATAATCACTGTCTCTCCCCCCCCATTCTCCCCCATCCTAATTTAAACCCTACATCAGTTTAAGCAACTCCATGGATCTGATGAAATAAGCAGTGCCTTTTGTTAGGAAAAAAAAAATTACCAGATTCCTGATTTTTGTCTTGCATAAATGCATATGCATTTATTACAGTTATATGAAATATGTGGCATGCCTGTGTAGAGTGTACAGATATGTGCATGTATAAACGCTATCCCCATAACCAAAACTGCTTAAAAGCTTTGTTTGGATGTTTCCTTCCCTTCCCTTTTGGCCTCCAATTTCAGTTACACAGAAAGAAACTTCCTGGTCGATTGGGGAAGGCAGAAATATACAATTGACTTTTAAGCAAATTAGCTATTTGGCATGCCGTGAGTTTCAGATATTTGGAAGAATGGACAGTCCTTCTGCAGAACACTTTTCTGCATCTGGGAGAGACTTGTGGCATTCAGTCATCTCTTGGCGCCCTGGCCCCCCAACATCTTACTTTCAGCCAGAAAAGTCTAATAAAAAGCCTTCCACATCAACTGACTCAAGAATGCCTCAAGTGAGGGAGGGAGGGAGGGAGAGAGAGAGAGGGGGGGGGAAATATGGGGGGGTTGTTCCTCTTTAAGACCTAGGTTTGCTCAGAAGTGCAGTGCATTTATCTTTGTTTGTGAAAAGTAGTACTATTTTAAAAGGCATTAAGCATGAAGTGATTAATCAAATGGCAAGAATAGGCCTTTAGGGTGCTCTGGAGAAACACAATTGAGAAATGATGCTTTCTGCTCTATTGAAATGCAAATGCTGCACACAGCTCAGCCCCCTCATGGGGGTGGTGTGTGTGTGTGTGGGGGGGGGGGGAAGCAGCATGCTATTTCTTTCTGGGAATACCTGCTTTATTTCCTTTTTTTTAAGCATTTAAGGTAGTAAGGTAGAAAGAAGTATACTGCTTCATCTAGAGCAGAGATATAACAATTAACGGAGAGATGCTTGACTAAGTCACAATCCAAAGCAAGCAGGCAACAAATAGGTTGCCTTTGTTTTCCATTAGCGATCTTACCTTTTATGCCCCCCCTTTTTTTTTTCATTAGCTCAGCCTTCCAATTTTAAGGCAATGGAATATTTTTCAGAGATGAGGCTGACAGCTGTTAAAAGCCATGAGTGACAATAATTTCATCTTGTTGATAAAATTAGAAAGAATTAAAAAGAGAAAAGGTCCTTTTATCCTTTATTACAACCCATTCTCAATTCAATTAAATCCCCTAAATGCGACTACTATTAAAAGTCGACTTAAATGACTATGGAACTTGGAGTTTATGATTGTCATGAGAAGAAGATAATAGACCTCATGAGACAATCCTGGCAGGTACAGGAAATAAATCTGAGTTTGGCAAACTCACAAAACATTTAACCTGTGTAACTCATTCCCAGTCCTTGAACTGGCTAAATGAATTCTGTGGAATAATTTGCCTCACACTGATTGTTGAGATCATTTATTCGTTAAACTCATTAGAAGGTGCCGTGCTAACTTTACTAGTTTACTTAGCCTGGGGTCATCTTTTTTTATTGCCAATGCATCTTCCAAACTTCAGGCACAGGGAAGTTTTTTTCAGCATTACTACCTGACTTCCTTTGAGCTAGAGATTTCAGTAAGGGAACCTGAGTTTTTAGTTGTGCAAAGCACAGGCACTGTTAAAGCATAGCACAGGTGATTGCCACATAAGAAGTACCTAGTTTCCCGTATTAACCCTACCTCTTTTGATGGCAGATATATATCATGGATATCCCTCATGCCCACCAGTATCTCAGAGAAAGTAAATTGGCTTCACTAAGGGCCATAAAGACCATGATAGATTCACAGGTACTTCTGGTGTTTGAAAGGGTTCAAGATTTCAGTGACATCATAGTTCCTGGGAAAAGTGCAGTCCTCAAAGATTCCATAAATGCACTGAAATATCCAGAACTTCCCAATTCTTACATTTGATACAATCATCATTCCCAAATGGGTATTTTCCAAGTCATTTGACTACAATGCTTATCCCTTGCATGCAATACAACCTTTAAGAGAAAGGTACCATATTATTGGTTCCCTTTTGGTTTTCTTTCAGTCCTTTCACAGAGATATGAGTGTTTTATTTGTTAAGAGAACAGAAGCGTGTACATAAATATTCAGTATGCAGCATGGGCAACTAGTCATGTATGTACATGGGCATAATTTTGTATGATAGCTCTTCCCTTTCTCTTAGTGGAAGGGATTGATTAAAGAAGCACATTTGATGCATGCTTTTCAGCTGGGTGTGCATATTATTCCCAACATAATCACAAAATGATGGGAGGCAAGTATATATGAACTGCTGTCTTTTATTTGTGCAGGAAATGATGAACAGTCTTCTGGTAGTAGCAGGGAAATTATTATTGCAGATTCATTTCTGCAAAAAAGAAGGATATAAGCTGGTTTGCTGATCTATTTCTGATAACCTTCCATTCACCTGACATTTGACACTCTGCCCTTTATTTATTTAAATGGGGGTGGGGTGTCTTTAAAATAAATACATATCATTTTGGTATCCCAAACATTCCTCTTATAATCAGTTACCTTTTCTGAGACCAAGCAAACTTAGTCAACAGAATAACATATTCCTCTTACTTGATATCAATGTGTAAAGTAATGCCCCTGATAGCTACCCTAAAAGGCCTTTATTATTTATTCATTATACTATTTCTTCTACTGTAGTGAATGTTGCAATTCCCTGCCCAGAACTTTCAGATGGGGCGTGAGAAATCTTTGCAGACAGATGGTCTTGCATTTGGGGAAACAAACTTGTGTTATCTTCCTATTTGCTTTAATGAGCTGATTCTGTTTAGGGGGCACATAAGAGAGGGAATTTCTCAGCCTAGTAGATCTTCTGTATTTTATTTGCATTCACCAAGTGGAACAAATCCTTAAATGGCCAGTGTTCAAATAGTCCTTAGTTCTGCAAAGTAAAAACTTGTGAAGATTTTGGAACCACCAATAATTCTGGAGGACTGCTTCACATGAGACATATGTAGAATACAAAATACTCCATTGATTCAGGCATAACTACTTTGTGGCTGTTTTCTTCTTCAAGGCCTACTCCCGTTCTTGTTTTGTTTTTGCTTATGAATATTTTGAAAGAAGAGGCTGTCTTGACGTAAAAAAATGTTCTGTACATTTTCATGAGAACAGTTCTGACCTTGCAGAGATTATGCTTCCCATGAATATGCTACTAAGAAATGTTTATTTGAAACAGCTAAAAGTTCATGCCTCTTTCGAAATGGGCAAGTATGCAAATAAATAAATGCAGACATGTATTGTGGTGGTGATAGCAGTTGTGAAAAAGAATCATATCTCAAGAAATGTAGCTTGAATCTTGCCTTCACCATGAACTAATTAAATAACTTTAAGCAAGCATTTTTCTTTCAGGGAATCTCCACATGGGAACTGTTTGATAGTCTGAAAGCAATTCCAAATCTCTATGAGCTACATTGCACAGTTAATACAATTTATTCTCAGCTCAGTTATTGTGCTGTTGAAGATGAAGCAATGTCAGTATTTTGTTTGCAATGGTTTGATGTCTGGTGTTTCTACAGAGCTTGCTTCCATGTTGGAGGGAATTTCTGATCCTAGGTTCTGGTGTCCTGCTAGATCCTTCACAGGAAATAATGGCTCAATCTATTTCATTCCAGAATCTTTAGATCAGTGGCAACAAGTCTGGTTGTTTACCTGAACACCGTTTTTGAGACTTCAGGGAGTGAAAATGATAGTATTTGATAAATAATTTTAAAAAATGATAGTCATTTTACCAACTTGTTGACAGAACACTAGAGCTTTTAAAGAAAAGTGTCCTATGTCTATGGAGATTCTCAGTCATCCAAGTCATGGTTGTCCCAAAGGTGCTTTTTCAAGAGGCAACTGGACTTTCTTGTTTCTCTTTGAAGACATTTCATTTCTCATTCAAGAAGCTTCTTCAGCTTTGAAGAAGCTTCTTGGATGAGAAGCAAAATGTCTTCAAAGAAAACAAGAAAGTCCAGTTGCCTCTTGGAAAAGCACCTTTGGGACAAGCGTGTCCTATAAAATAGTCAACCAAATACCATGGTCTGAAATTTCCATTTCTAGTAAAACAAGTTGGCCTGTATATAAGACCTAAAATGGATCACAATGGCCATGTGTATCTGGTGAGTTCTAATAAGTATGACACTAGTTACATACTGCCTCCTGTTGGTCAGTGAGTAACAAAAATATACACTGTAAATCAGCTGGGGATTAGGGGGAGAAAAATTCATAGAATCGTTAGCCTGAGGACTTGACATGTTCAACTCAACTCTCTAGCTGGAATAGTTAAAATATGCATGTTTGTTTTATTCCTGCAATCCTACACTGAGACCAGTATAGTTTCCCTCCCTAATCCTCTACTACTTGGCCTAGATGATCCAGAATCTAGTCAGTTCTTGCAAATTGGCTGGCATCTTTCATAACATGTACATGGGAACTTGCAGCCGCTGCTCACTTTCCACTGCATCGTTCTCCTCTATTCTGCCATAAACAGATTTCTCATGCTGCACTAAATATAATTCTGTACATGCAAGTTAAGTAGTACATTGATGAAGAGGTTTGTGCCCAGAATGGTAATGGAAAATATGGTTAAGCATGTTTAGCATAGAAAAGATATAATATACCTTCTATAAGCTTGAAGGCTTATAGATGGTAGAAAATATTTGAGTTCTGGGCTTCCAATTATTGGATCCAAATCAAATGATAAACATAATACAAGAAAAAGTTTAAAATATATAACTGGGAAATCTCCTAGCAGTGTAAACTATTTGACTAAAAACAGACTATCTCAAAAGAAGGCAGGCTTCCATCTTTAGAAGTCCTGAAGCATAGTTAGAGTGGCCACCCATAAAGGATGATGATATTGTTAATTTGTCTTAACGCCATATCTTTTTCATCTCTGTGAATTTATACTTGGATGTTCCAGAGACTGGAACTGATGCATTTTCAGAGTAAGTGCTCCCCCAATAACTTTGAGAGAGGGAGGAGTTCCCTCTTATAAAACATGATTATTCTCCACTTTCTTTTTATGGTTGATTAAAATGGGAAACAATCTAGCAATGTCTTGATAAAATGATTTTTTTTTCATTTTTTTCATTTTATTTTTGTCTCTTTGGATATAGTTCAAGGTTGACTTGGCCTTCCATCCTTCTGAGGTAGGTAAAATGAGGACCCGGTTTGTGGGGGCAATAAGCTGACTTTGTATAAAAAAGAACACCGCTTTGGAGGGGGGGCGAAAGCCCTACTAAGCAGGTATATGCAAAAGTATGAAGGCTATTGCTTAAAAGCATTGTAAGCCGCCCTGAGTCTCCGGAGAAGGGCGGCATATAAATCGAACCAATAAATAAATAAATAAATAAATAGATGATTTTTTTGGTTCATTGGTTCCCTAAGTATATAGTTTGAGCAACCGGGGCAACTAGGAGGAAAACCTTAATTTTTTTTTTAAAAAAATTAAAAATTAAAAACCCTTTTGCCTTTCAAGAATATCATAGTCAAGCCAGGTAAACCTATTTCAAAGACAGGGTTTAATTTTGATCTGATTTCATGTGCAAGATATCCATTAGAATACTTAATCTTCCATCTGTTTCAGCTGGAGCTGTTTTCTACCACTATTTCCTATTTACAAAAAGCTAATTTGATGCATACTGGGAAATTCTTCAAACACCAGGAGGCTTCACACTATTTTTTTTCCCATCAAGTCCTTATGGTTTGGGAGGTGTGAGATAACAAATATGTGGAATGGAATGCTTCACTAATTTGCCCTAGATTTTATCTGTGGCTATATCCACTTTGGCCAAAAGATTGCTGTTCTGTTTCTGAACTGAAGATAATGCAGAGGACCACAAGGACTTTTTGTAAAGAGAGATGAACAGCAATCATCCATCGTCTTTTCTAAGTAATCTTATCTTGAAATAATTTCCTGAATCCACAGAGGGCAAGTTGCTAGTATAATTTATCTAAAAGCACAATCTTTCCCAATCTGTTGCTTTATAGAGTGTTAGGACTACCCCATCCAAGATTATAGGCAATAATCATGTCAGATGTAGTAGACTTACCACTTCCTGTAGCTGTAAACTCAACTAGTGAATATCAACAGGACTGTCATTAAAATAGCGCTGTTGAGAATGAAGAGGAAGATATAAATATTTGGAGAGCTCCAAATTTTATAGAAGTATAAAAGTATACACAATAGAATAAACAAAGAGAGGATAAGAAAAATTAAACAATATTAATTCATGTCTATAGGGCTAGATAGATTACCTCCCAAGGTACTGAAGAAACTAACCATCAGTAATATTTTTTTAAAAAAATTGGATGGATGGTGAGACCCCAGAAGACTAGGGAAGAGCAAATATTCAAAAACTGGAAGAATGGGGGACACTGAAGATACACTGAGAAAGGGATTCAATGAATTGTCAGGCGAAGGGTTTATGAGCACTTGGAAGACATGCTATACTCAACAGAAACCAGCATGGGATTGCTTCAAACAAATCGTGCCAGACTAAGCTTATCTCCTTTCTTGATAGAATTATTAGCTTAGTGGACCAGTGGAATGTTGTAGACCTAGCAAAGCCATAGAGAGAGTGCTTCATGATATCTCCCTATATAAAATGGCCAAATATGAGTTAGCTGACACTACCCATCATTGGCCATACCCAAAGAGTGTTTGTTTCTGGAATTACTGAGTACTGTCCTAGATTCTGTGCTGTTCAACATTTTCATTGATGACTTGGATGAGGGAATTGAGGGAACACATGAAATTTATAGATGATGAAACCAGGAGGGATAGGAAATACTTTGAGATAATTGTCCAGTTTCTTTTTGAAAGCCTTCAATGATGGAGCACCTACATCTTCTGAATGCAAGTCATTCCATTGGTTGATTGCTCTCACCACTAGGAAATTCCTCCTTAATTCAAGATTGAAAAGAGAAAAAGAAAAAGATCTAGACAGGCTTGGATGTCTAGGATGAATAGGATGGAAATAAACAAAGAGAAAAGTAAAGGTCTACATCTGGATAGGAATATGTAAAGAATAAGTATAGGGTGGGGCGGGGGCAGTGGTGAAATCTAAAATTTGTTACTACCGGTTCTGTGGGCGTGGCTTGGTGGAGGGGTAATGTGACTGGGTGGATGTGGCCAATTTTTTTTTTTACTTTTAAAACCATTTTTTCTACAACCTCTTTGGCGAAGAGGTTGTAAAAAAATGCTTTCAAAAGGTTTTGACGATCCCAGCTGAGCCGCCTGATCGGCAGAGGCTTTTTTTTTACTTTTAAAAGCATTTTTTTGCCTGAAGAGGTTATAGAAAAAATGCTTTTAAAAGTAAAAAAAAAAAAGCCTCTGATGATTGTGCG